GGAGTGAACAAACTACCTACAGAATGGGAGAAAATATTTGCATGCTATATATCCAATAAAAGGCTAATAACCAGAATCTACAAAGAACTCAAGGAATTCTGCAAGAAAACATCAAATAACTCCATTAAAAAGTGGGCAAAAGAAAGGAACAGAAGCTTTTCAAAAAAAGATAGACTAATGGCCAATAAACACATAAAAAAAAAATGTTTAACATCTCTAATCATCAGGGAAAGGCAAATCAAAACCACAATGAGATATCACCTAACTACAGTGAGAATGGCTTTTATCCAAAAGTCCCAAAACAACAGATGCTGGCATGGATGCAGAGAGAAAAGAACACTTATACACTGTTGGTGGGACTGCAAATTAGTATACTCTCTATGGAAAGCAGTCTGGAGATACTTCAAAGAACTAAAAGTAGACCTACCATTTGATTCAGCAATCTCACTATTGGGTATTTATGCAAAGGGAAAAAAGAACCTTTATTAAAAAGACACTTGCACTGTAATGTTTATAGCAGCACAATTCACAATTTCAAAGATGTGGAAACAGCTCAAGTGCCCTATCAGTACATGAGTGGATTGATAAAATGTGGTATATGTATACCATGGAGTACTATTCAGCCATAAAAAAAAATGGTGAACTAATACCTTTTGTAACAACTTGGATGAAATTGGAGACCATCATTCTAAGTGAAGTATCATAAGAATGGAAAAGAAAATACCACATGTACTCACTATTAAATTGGAAGTAATAGATCAACACTCAAGTGCACATATGGTAGTAAAATTCAACAGAATTCAAGCAGGTGGTTTGGGGGAGGGGATGAGTAAATTCACTCCTAATGGGTACAATGCACACTATCTGAGTGATGGACACACTTATAATTTTGACTCAAACTGTAGAAAGCAATTCATGTAACTAAAACATTTATACTGCCATCATATTCTGAAATTTAAAAAAGAAAAAAGTGAAGAGATACTAACAGATACTGAAGATAGGGTAATGATTTTACTTAGAGAAAAACAGAGCAAGGTTACCCAAGTACAATTTCAGATTCTTGCATATAATATGTTGACATTTTAATGCTTTAAAACACCTTAGATTATCTTTACCTGTCAGATTGCCCTATAAAAATGTTAGCACACTTCCAAACATCTGACTAGCTTTAAGACCGACAAAACTCATAGATATTTACTCTTAAAATTTTAGAACAGTGATCTCAGTAGAGACTTTAAGAATAGATTTTAAAATTTCTTTAATTATTTTACCTGTTATAGGATATAACAAAGTCATGAGAAGTCTTATGAACGTATTCACCAACGATGGATTTATATAAACGTACCTCTTCTGCTGCTGCCTCTGAAAGCAAACCTTCCTTCTGGGCACAGGTTACATGGAAATAGGCTCTGCACATCCCTGCATCACAGCTAATGCAAACCCCAGTTCTAGCAAAGCGAGGGTCTTCACAAAAGCTACATTCCTACAATAAAATAACAGAAAAATTCTCTGAGAAAAATGTTTCCAGAACAAAGACTGCATTCCCATAAAAAGCATCCACTAAATATTTAAAATGCTAAAGAAATACAAATAGTGAAACAACTGTGTACCAATACAAACAATAATTGCAAGCAAGACAAGAGTTTATGTGAAAAAGGTAATTCTCTATATGGTTCCAATAAACCAAAATTCCATTAACATTATTATAATGATAACGAATAACAATACAATCATAATTAATATTATTTGAGGACTTAGTATGTGCTAGATACTATTCTAAGCACTTTACACAGAGAGATGGTCCCAATCAATAGTGATTTGACTTAAAATTTTTCAACTTTACAATGGTGTAAAAACAATATGCATTCAGTAGAAACCATACTTCAAGTATCCATACAACCATTGTTTTTCACTTTCAGTATAGTATACAAAAAACTACATGAGATAGTCAACACTTTATTATAAAACAGGCTTTGTGCTACATGATTTTGTCCAATGTAACGTAAGTGTTCTGAGCACGTTTACACTAAGCTAGGCTAAGCGATGATGTTCTTCAGTAGGTTAGGTGAATTAAATAAATTTCAACTCATGAAATTATCAACTTATGATGGATTTATCAGGACTAACCCCATCATAAATTGAGGACCGTCTGTCTAAATATATGCAATCAATTAACATTCACAACTACTATGTAGAAGAAGTACTGTAATTATTCCCATTTTATAGATGAGAAGATTGAAGTGAAGATGAATTAAGAAACCCGCTTTAAAAAAAACAAAGAAAGAAAATGGAAGTCAGGCTTCAAACCAGGACAATCTTCTTTTAAAGCCCACCATTAAGCTATACTAACTCTTAAACAATATCATATTGCCTAGAAAATGAAAGGAAATAAGTAAGAGACCAGAGAAAATCCAACAAAAAATCTAGGCATTGCAACCTAGAAATCATGCACTTTTAAAAATACCTTTAAGAGAACTAAAAGTAATTTTAGATTTAAAAAAAAAGGAACTGGTGAAATTGGTAGTGACATACAATACAGCCAATTATTTACAGTCTTTCTGTATAAAAAGGGAAAAATTGTAAAACCAGAAGTATGAACTGTTGAAAACACCCAAAATCCTGTCATCAAATATTTTTATCACTTTAACTGTATTAACAAAAGAGGAGAGAAAAAAAAAAAAGCTGGTCTCAAAATATAAACTGTTCTGATAACAGAAATCTTCATAAAAGAAAAACCTGTTAAATTGTGAAACACTGCCAGTGGATAACAGAAGAATTATTTAGTTTATTCTAAGTAAATGACATACAAAAGAAACAAGTAAAAAGGAAAATAAAAAAGTTTTAATAGATATTAAACTACTATTTTAATGTTGCAATAGTTAGTGACTATCTAGTGGGTAGGCAGCACCAGACAGGACATCAGAAATGAATAAAACTAGTAAGAACAAGACTCTGAGTACAGATGTGAAAACACTCCCAAATCCTGACATTCTACTGCCTAGCTAATAATCTTTTTCCAATAACAGTAGAACATGTATGGTATAAAGTACTGGCAAATAGCAATACAAACATGAGACCGAGAAAGAAAGACAGAAAGACTATGAGTATGAGACAGAGAGGATGAGGAGGGGTGGAGAGAGAGGGAGAAATTAAACTATTTAAAGGATTTCAACACCACGGAGAGACAAATTTTGGGATAATTCCCCAAGTGGGAAATTTCAAGTAATCTGATGAAATTGAGCAAGGGATTTCAGAGTGAATACAAGGAAAAATTTCCTGACAACAGAGTTTTATGAGACAGTAAAACAATCTATCAAAGAAAATAACATCTTTTTCAATTGCCTGAATCATTTAAAATGCTAGTGAACTAGTCAACAGAGAACACAGGGTAGAAGGCAATTCAGATGAGAAAATGGGTACACAGTGTGGTCTAGAAGACTGTCCCAGTTTTAATCAACATTATATTTGACTTCACAGATGAGTTACACTGAGAATACATAATTTTCAACTACTTTTGCCAATCATGTTTTGTCAAAGCAAAATAAGCATGAGGCCATTAGCCTGGAGTTGTTTTTATACCCAGAAACATTATACAAGCAAACTGAAACTGAACTTAGAAAAACTTTGCAATTAAAGAAAAAGAACCTTCAGCCAACCACAACTAGCCATTAGATATGCAACTGCAACTAGATACTTTTACCCACAGCTGTAGCCAATTAAGTAAATTCCTTACTTTGGTTTCACATTCAGCCTATAAAAGCCGAGTGCATACGCTGCTAAACCAGAGCTCTGTAAACCTTTTCGAGTTTTGAGTGCTGCCTGATTAATCTTTTAATGCTGAAATATACTCTGTTAAATTTACAAGCATACCTTGGAGATATTTCAGGTTTAGTTCCAAACCATTGAATAAAGGAAATATCCTAATAAAGGAAGTCACATGAATTTTTGGGTTTCCAAGTGCATATAAAAGTTAGGTTTAAACTACACTATACTCTATTAAGTGTGCAATAGCATTATGTCTAAAAAAACAATCTACGTATCCTAAATAAAAAAATACTTTATTCCTAAAAAATCCTAATGATCACCTGAGCCTTCAGCAACTCATATTTGCTGCTCGAGGGTCTAGCCTTGATGTTGATGGCTGCTGTCTGATCATGGTGGTAGCTGCTGAAGCTTGGGATGGCCAAGGCAATTTCTTAAAATAAGACAACAATGAAGTTTGCCACATTGATTGTTTCTTCCTTTCACAAAAGATTTCTCTGTAGTATATGACACTGACAGCATTTTACCCACAGAACTTCCTTCAAAATAGAGTCAATCCTCTTAAACCCTGCTGTTGCTTTACCAACTAAGGTTATACAATATTCTAAATACTTTGTTGTCATTTCATTCAACAATGTTCACAGCATCTTCACCAGGAGTAGATTCCATCAAGAAACCACTTTCTCTGCTCAACCATAAGCAACAACCCATCCTTTCAAGTTTTACCATGAGATTGTAGCCATTCAGTCACATCTTCAGGCTCCACTTCCAATACCAGCTCTCTCGCTATGCTACCATATCTGCAGTGACTTCCTCCACTCAAGTCTTAAACCCCTCAAAGTCACCCATGAGGGCTAGAATCAAATTCTTCCAAACTCCTGTCAATGTAAACATTTTGACCTCCTCCCATGAATCAAGAATATTCCTACTGGCATTTAATATGGTAAATTCTTTCTAGAAAGTCTTCAATTCTCTTTTCCCAGATCCATCTAGAAGAATCACTATCTATGGCAGCTATAGCCTCACAAAATGCATTTTTTAAATAATAAGACTTGAAAGTCAAAATTACTCCTTGATCCATGGGCAGCATAATGGATGTTGTGTTAGCAGGCATGAAAACAACATAAATTTCCTTGTACAACATTAATTTCCTTGTTCTTCTCCATCAGAGATCTTGGGTGAGCACGTGCACTGTAAATGAGCAGTAATATTTTGAAAGGAATCTTTTGTTCTGAGCAGTACGTCTCAAGAGTGGGCTTAAAATATCCAGCAAAACATGCTGTAAACTGATCTGCTGCCATCCAAGCTTTGTTGTTTCATTTATAGAGCACAGGCAGAGTACATTTAGCATAATTCTTAAAGGCTCTAATATTTTCAAAATGGCAAATGAGCACTGGATTCAACTTAAGGTCACCAGCCGCATTCGTCCTTAAGAGTCAGCCTGTCCTCTGAAAGTCCTAGATAGCATCAGATAGCATCTTCTTCCAATATACTATACGGCTGTTTCACCTACGCTGAAAATCTGTTGAGTGTAGCCACCTTCATCTTTTATCTTAGCTATTCTGGATAACTTGCTGCCCCTTATACATCAATACTGTACATCACCTTGCACTTTTATGTTATAGAGGTGGCTTCTTTCCTTAAACCTCATGAACCAACCAACGCCAGCTTGAAACTTTTCTTCCACAGCTTCCTCACCTCTCTCAGACTCAGAATTAAACAGAGTTAGGGTCTTGCTCTACATAAGGCTTTGGCTTAAGGGAATGTTGTGACTGGTTTGATCTTCTATCTAGACCACTAAAATCTTCTCCGTATCAACAATAAAGCTGTTTCTCTTTCTTATCATTCATGTGTTCAATGGAGTAGCACTTCTTATTTCCTTCAAGAACTTTCCTTTGCATTCACAAATTGGCTGTTTGGCACCAGAGCCCTAGCTTTCAGCCTGTCTCATCTTCACACATGCCTTCCTCATAAAGTTTAATCATTTCTAGCTTTTGATTTAATGTAGGATGTGTGACTCTTCTTTTCACTGGAACACTTAAAGACCATTGTAGGATTATTAATTGGCCTCATTTTAATATTGTTGTGTCTCAAGGACTAGGGAGGCCCAAGGAGAGGGAAAGAGATGGGAACAGTCAGTTCGTGGAGCAGTCAAAACATATACAACATTTATCAATTAAGTTTGAAGTCCTATATGGGCATGGTTCATGGTGTCCCAAAACAAGAGATCCCTATGCTGGCACTGAGTAAAATTAATTAAAAAGAAAAAAAAAAAAAGATCCCTGGATCACAGATCACCATAGCAGATATAATAATGATGAAAAGATTTGAAATATTGCAAGGATTACCCAAATGTGACAAAGACACAAATTAAGCACATGCAGTTAGAAAAATGGTGCCTACAGACTTGCCTGACACAGGGTTGCCATAAATCTTCAATTTGTACAAAATGCAATATCTGTAAAGCTCAATAAAGTGAAGTGCATTAAAACAAGGTATGCCTGTAGTTTTTAACAGTTTTAGTGTCAGCCTGGGATCTGAAGGAGACCTCTAGTGTTCCCCAGGAACAACGAGTGACTAAGCGAAGGTACCGTGGGAGCCAATTGTACTTGTTGTTCTCTTATTAGTAATTCGAGGTTGTGGGTGAGTTCTTCTCAGATTCAAGCTCTGCAAACTTGCATTTTTGAGCTCTTGGACTTTGAGCATTTCTTTAACCAGACTGGGATCAGAATTGAATTGGCTCCAATAAGTAACTGTACTGGATCCAGTTAGAGGCCTCAGAGACCTTCTAAAATGGGTTCCCCTGAATCTAATGAGTCTGGGACTTCACGTTCTAGGACACAAGTTAATTTTATGTATAAATATTATAGGCCCCGAATCTGTGTATTAAAAAATGGGTTAACCTTACTAAGGACAACTTGTAATTATAGTGGCCACAATAGGGAAGTTTTAATCTTGACAAAATTGTTCACTTATGAGGTGCATCAGAAAAGGACAGACTCAAAATGCTTCAAAAACAATGAGATGTTTTTGATTGGTACACAGAGTCATCTAGATTAAACAAATCAAAAATTTCCTCTCTAGAAGATTCTCTATAAAAGGCAAATGAAAAATCGCAAAAGTCTTTTTAAATAAATACCAGTTAGTTCAAGAATAGCAGTAAGACAAAAAAACCATGTATTTAATTTTTTAGGGTTCTTGCCTTCATGATGATTGCCTAACTTATATATACTGTATAAATGCTAACAGGGAAATAACTTGCTGATGGCTAGCCTTGTTTATTGCTATAATAAATAAGCTTAAAAACAGCTTCCCAAATCGTTTTAGTGATTTACCCCTTGGAGTTTTGCTAGGTTTAATTAAATGATGACTATTCATTGAATACCTAGATCATTTCCAAATAAGATAAAATACTGAAACATTAATTGCTGAACATAAGTATATCCATATTTGGCTTATTATTACAAAGAAATTAAAGATATTTGGGTCTGTTAGTAAACATGTCCTACGCCAGCAGTCCTCAACCTTTTTGGCACCAGGGACGAGTTTCATGGAAGACAATTTTTCCACAGACTGGGGGTTGGGGGGTATGGGGTCATGGGTGGGAGAGTGCAGAGTTCAGGTGGTGATGTGCAGCCTGGTTCCTAACAGGCCATGGACTGGTACCGGGCAGCGGCCCAGGTGTTGGCGACCACAGTGAAAAATTATATTATGAGGAAGCACATGCTTCTAGAAATTATGAAATCGTGTTAAGCTACAGAATGCTGGTATGTGACAGACAATTCACAATTTATTACTTTCTAAGTTTCATTAGAAATTAAAAGTTATCAAAAGTTAAGAATTCTACCTAATATATGATGACTAAAACTAGAAATAAGAGAAACAACTCCGTATGAGAAAAAAGTAAGATGTGTTTTGGTAAGAAAATCTATGAGGTATGAGAATTGTGTTTTTGTAATGGATGTGTTATATTAAGGAAATTAACTTTTGTCCTAGAGTGAAATGATTGGTTGCTCACAATGAGAAAAGGAGAAAACTGTAAGACAAAAACTGAATGGGTATAAGAAAGTCATAGAGGCTTTGTGTAAAAGGAATCTTGCAAAAGAATTTTATGTGTGATCAAGCTAAGATTCGAAGGGACTTTTAGTTTTTTAACTTGAGCATTAATATTAAAAATATGCAAATACACAACTAGAAAATGGTCTATTAAAACAAGGGTTTCTTAGAGAACTGGCCTGCTCTTAGTAAGAAATTGTAAAAGGTTTTTCGTACTTTCTCCTTTTAAGTAATCCAACGAGGAAACAAAGACTTCGTTTCTTATCAAAATAATTTCCTATTTATCATGCTATTTTTTACCAGGTCTTTGATTACTTAAGAAAACTGAATTCTCTCTATTAAAAGAGCTAAGGTTTTTCCTACAACTATATAACTTTCTGTATTTGCCTATAAAATCTTTTGTAACTTTTGATAACTAAATATTATTTCACAGGGACATGTGATTCTATTTAATCAGGTGTTTTAAAACTTTTGACATTTTTTACAACTTCCCAAAATCAAATTCAAAATTAAGTTATTTTGACCTTGAACCAACTTTGGGATGTCCCAGAGGACCCCTGGGATATCCCCCAAAATGTGTTCTCTCTCCTTATAAAGAGAGAGACATAAAACTCATTTGGCTGATTAGACATGTTAAATTTGCATGGGAAGCACTGTCAAGTAAGAAATGATGTTTAACCTTATTTGAGATTTTTTAATTGCTTCTGGATTTATACTTACTGTAAAATGTGTGCCCACTGAAAAGTACTTAAGCTATTCTCTCCTAAGCTCTGTGCTTAGGAATTATGAGGCTACTATCATAAAAGAAAGAAGGAAAGAAGTTAACTTCTACTTGCAGTAACAGTGGACTTAGATAATTTTTCTAATGTTTCCAACTAGACAATCTGGACAAATTATTATTACTTTTTTAACTATA